CACGCCTTGGGTGGGTTCGGGGGTTACTGGCTCCAGATCCAGGTTGAAAAACGTATCTTGGCTGTTGGGGAAAGCGGTTTCTCCGCTTCCTTGCTGTGAGCTATCTTCAATCTCTTCATCATCATCTTCCTTGTCCCCAAAACCCGCTTCCGTGTTGCGTGATTCTCCATTGACGGAGTCAAAGCACAGGGTTGGGGTACTGGTGACTGCACTCCCTAGCATGGCATGCAGCTCATCATAGAAGCGGCATGTTCAGGGCTCTGATCCGGAGCAGCCATTTGCCTCTCTGTTTTTTTGGTAGGCTTGCCTTAGCTCCTTAATTTCCACACGGCACTGCTTTGGCCTCTGTCCTTCATGCCCTTTGAGACTTTTTCTAATGTTTTGGCATTTCATTTACTGGAACAGAGTTCAGCTAGCACGGATTTGTCTCCCCATACGGCAAGCAGATCCCGTACCTCCCGTTTGGTCCATGCTGGAGCTCTTTTGCAATCCTGGGACTCCATCATGGTCATCTCTGCTAATGAGATCGGCACTCACCTGCACCTTGCCATGCTGGCCAAACAGGAAATGAGATTCAAAAGTTCGCGGGCCTTTTCCTGTCTACCTGGCCAGTGAATCTGAGTTGAGAGCGCTGTCCAGAGCGGTCACAATGGAGCACTCTGGGATAGCTCCTGGAGGCCAATACCGTCGAATTGCATCCACACTACCCCAAATTCGACCCGGCAAGGCCGATTTCAGCGCTAATCCCCTCGTTGGAGGTGGAGTAAAGAAATCGATTTAAAGAGCCCTTTAAGTCGAAAAAAGGAGCTTCATCGTGTGGACGGGTCCAGGCTTAAATTGAGGTAACGCTGCTAAATTCGACCTAAAATCATAGTGTAGACAAGGCCTTAGGTTATAGTCATTCAGGTGGAGTGATCTAACCGACGTAATATGGAGTCTTAACAGGATAATTTTGCTCAGTGAAAGAGTACCGTGGCACATAAGAGGAGTGCTACAGACCTTGTGAATATTTAATAGTACTGAAAATGAATCTCTGATATAGAACAAGTCAGAAAATACTTTATATATACACTACTATACACACACAATAATCATGAAATTAAAGGGCTTGTGCCTTCCTTTGATGTTTAAATAAGGCCTACAACTTCTTTAAAAGGCTGTCTTTTACACTAGAATATCAGGTACCAAATAGGAAGGAAGAGTCTATGGTGACTGGAGAACTAATGAAATAGGAATGTTGCAAGACCCAAGAGTGTGAAAATTGGGCAGTTTGGTGGGGAGGGGATTAAACACAACTCACTTTTCCAGTGTAGATCAAGCTTTTGAACTTTCAGACTCCTCAATTATACCTGCTGCTGCTGCTGACATTGCCTGAGGAAGCTATGAAATGCAACAGAAGTGCTAGGGCTGTTTGAGGAGGAAAGGTGTATTAGTTGACATGCAACCCTTTTATGCCCCTTCTTCTCTCAGCAACAGCTAGCAGGATTGTTGGCAGAGGGTGGGGGATGAAGAACAGGTGACCTTCCACAACAGATAAACTTCTGGAGTATGTGGGGAAGGTAATGGGGGGTGGGAGGAAAGAATTCAATGCTTTCCAGCAGTTGAAAGGGAGCACAGCTGATATGAGAGATGGAAGCCCTGTTTAAGGTATAGGAACAACACCCTGGTAGGAATCCCAGCAACTTCCCCCTTCTAAGCCTTTAGGGGCTGCAGAGAAAATGGGCTTGGCTTCTCACCAGGGCTTTTGCTAGTAGGCTCCCTGATAATTGTTCATATGGACATCTGGTTAGTAGGTTTAGTCCTGCCCGGTAGGCGATAGGGAAAATCTTTCAAGCTCTGTGACCTTAGTTAATAACACTTGTACTGCCAAAACGTCACATCAGGCTAACTCCACTTAAATATGATTTTAGGTGGCTATTGTTCAAACTTAATTCAGAAACAATGTTGTGGGGTAGGTATAGCTTACTGCTGGGGGAATTCTGTGCCAACGCGCATGTGCAGAAAATGTGCCCCCCACAGATTTCTTTGCTTCCCTGCAGAACGTGATGGGGAAGTAAAGGAAAGTATGAATCAACAGTGTGCCCTTGTTGCCAAGAAGGCTAACGGCATGTGGGGCTGTTTAAGTAGGGGCATTGCCAGCAGATTGAGGGATGTGATCATTCCCCTCTATTCGACATTGGTGAGGCCTCATCTGGAGTAGTGTGTCCAGTTTTGGGCCCCACACTACAAGAAGGATGTGGAAAAATTGGAAAGAGTCCAGTGGAGGGCAACAAAAATGGTTAGGGGGCTGGAACACGTGACTTAGGAGGAGAGGCTGAGAGAACTGGGATTGTTTAGTCTGCGGAAGAGAAGAATGAGAGGGGATTTGATAGCTGCTTTCAACTACCTGAAAGGGGGATTCTAAAGAGGATGGATCTAGACTGTTCTCAGTGGTAGCAGATGACAGAACAAGGAGTAATGGTCTCAAGTTGCAGTGGGGGAGGTTTAGGTTGGATATTAGGAAAAACTTTTTCACTAGGAGGGTGGTGAATCACTGGAATGGGTTACCTAGGAAGGTGATGGAATCTCCTTCCTTTAGAGGTTTTTAAGGTCAGGTTTGACAAAGCCCTGTCTGGGATGATTTAGTTGGGAATTGGTCCTGCTTTGAGCAGGGGGTTGGACTAGGTGACCTCCTGAGGTCCCTTCCAATCCTGATATTCTATGATTCTATGGAAGCTGGGGGAGGAGGCTGGGGATGCCTATGGGCATAGTGGGGGGAGAGGTATTGTCCACCAAACAGAGGCAGACCGTGGGGGGGCTGGGAGGGGGCGGACGTACATCGGTTCATGTGCCACTTCTCCTGCCCCCCCCCCCCCTTTCCTGCACATGCAGAGCTGCCCGGCTCAAAGAGTGTGCCGCTCTGCTCCACAGCTGAATGTCTCCTCCTGGGTCCTAGTGCTTTCAGTAAGCTGGGAGCCATCCTGTTTTCTGTACAGCAGTGAGTGCCCGCAGTGGGACAGGGTAAAGGGGGGGAGGGGAGAAGCAGTGGGGAAGGAAGGTGGGGTGGGATGGGGAGAGGATGGGACTGTGGGGAAGGGGGAGAGGATGGGAAAGAGAAGGGGATAGGGGAATTGGGGGTGAGGAGGGAGCGGGGGTGAGGGAGGGAGCAGGAGTCTGGCTTGCAGCATCCCCTGTGTAGCAGCTGCAGTTGGAACTCCCCTGTTAAGCAGGCCCATGAAACTTCCACCCTGATGAGCCCCACCTCCCCTTCATATGGACCACCCCGCTGAGGCCTGTACACCCAGATTCCCCCCTGCTGAGCTCCAACCATCTTCACCTGGACCCTCTGCAGAGTCCCATTGCCCCTGGAACCTCCCAATGACACCCTGTGCATCCAGATCTCCCACTGAGCTGCCCACACCCAGATTGCCCACACCTGGATCCACCCACACCAAGCCCCTCTACACTTAGATCCTGCTGGGCTGAGCGTGCCTGCCCACACCTGGTGTGTCTAGCACAGAGGGGCAGGGCCCTGGGGTGTTTCTGGGGCAGGCCCAACCCTTACGCTGTGTCAGGGTTGGGTACAGCCTTGCTGCTGAGTCCCTGTCCCAGGGGCTGAGGGCTGCAGGGTGATCTCCCACCTTCATGCAGCCAGTGGCCTGTGCTCCCCACTGCCATGCTGGAGCTACCACATTTATTTATTGACCAATAAAATTTGAAGACTTTTAAAATATTGTGCAGAGAATTTTTATTTTTTTGGCACAGAATTCCCTCAGGAGTCGTATAGCTAGGGGCCTGTATTGTGGCACACTGGACCTAAATTCTGTGGCAACATCTGACTTCTGCAGCTTATCAGCACTTAATTCTGTGTCATGTTGAAAGTCCTGGTCCGATTTCAAGTAACGTAAGAGGTACTTATTAAATTAAATATGAAACAAAATAATTCCTTGTATTGTGTATTTGAATAATGAATTGAATATGAATTTCAAATCTGGAATATGTTTCATCTTCAGCTGCTCTTAAACTTTCAATTTTCATAGTGCTATAGAATTTTGTATTGACACTAATCTATTGAAATTGGACTGGGGAAGAAGCTTGAGGCAGCTGGGTAGAAGGATACTGAGGCATTTGATGCCCAGAAAAATATAGTGTGTGTGGGGGGGTGTTGAGGTTTTTAGCTTTCAGGTTTAATTTAATGCCTCTTTTGGGGAGGTAGATGCAATTTAGATGAATAGACTTTTTTCTGCAAAATCAGGAAGGCTATTCTGTATCGGTTTGTTTTAGAGGTTTTTCTTCATAACTATAAGCTTTAGAAAGTTATATTGTTATGCAATATTAGATGTGAAACACAATCCTACAGCACAGGTGAGGGTTACTGCATTATCCAGTTCTACAACTGTAGAGAAAACAGGGTTCCATATATACACTGCAAAAATTGGCTCTATTCATGGTAAACCTGATTGATCTGAAGCGGACTGGAAGAGTGACTTTTACTTTTACCCGAGTCCAAAGCTGTCTATGTTGGTTTTGTTTTTGATGCAGTAGCAGGAAGGAGAGAGAATCAGAAGAGATGATGTGGCTGTTATTTGCAGTAGGCGCTACTTTTTATGCCTACTTACCAGAGGAGTTAGTGGCTTTAGAGTTCGTTTTTGTTTGTTTTCTATTATAAGCTTAGTTTATCCTTTCCTCTTTAAATTTTGCTGACTTACTAGTGTTAAGTTGTTGAGTCTTGCTTTGACTTTTGTCAGGTTTGTGCCAAATTTTGATCATAAATCAAGAAAGCAAATGAGGTTGATCAAAGGAAGGAAAATAAAAACTTGTCACCTGAACATACAGTAGTCTAGGCCAATATGTACAAAACCCATGTACAACTGCTAGGGTTTTTTTAGTAGTATGGTATTTTATTTATCTCATAGAGAGAGGTGGAAATAAAGAAATGGCTCCAGAAAGGTGGGGGAAATGCATCTGAATAATGTGGGAGTCTTCTGACTGTATTCCAAATTATTTTGTTTTAACTGTAGGTTATTGGTACACCTCAGAGACCTTCAGCGCCAAATACTATCCTGGTAGGAAGTCCACATACACCCAATTCACACTTTGTATCACAGAACCAGACTGCAGACTCTTCGCCTTGGTCTGCTGGGTGAGCAAAATTCTGTTAAGTTACAAGGGTTTAATAGAATTGTTTGGAAATTTTGTCCTAAAGTTTTTTTTTTTTAATTGATGTGCTCTGTAAGTACGCTGATATGAAGGAGGGGTTCAGCTTAGATTTAATTTAAGAGATATCTAAATTTGTTTAATACCTAGAGTAGAGAGATAATAAGAACACCTTTTCACTTCAGTGTAGCAAAAGTCAGATTTCTGAGGAAACAAACGGACGCGTAGTGTTCTGCTGTCATATTTACACGAAGATAGTGGCTCTTAAAAGAACAAGCGAAATCAACTGAGATTTTTCATCCTCTTGTACTGTCAGATAAAATATAAATGGAATATAGTGTTTCAAACCAAATATGCATAATTCTGCAGACAATTTTAAATGAGAAGAATAAGATCGTAGCTCAACTTGAAGAAAGCAAAAAGAAGAACAGGAGTACTTGTGGCACCAGATTTAACATAAACTTGCTTTGGGGGTTTATTACACACAAGATTGTTTTGAAGGACCCATTGATGAATGTAGTTGCTTTAAAGTTAACATTTATTGGTGTGTCTGTTGTTTTTTTGGGCTAGGAAATATTTATATTAGGGGATTATGGAGTTGTATTGTTCCTAAAGTATTTAAGCACGCATATATGCAGAAATTGAAAGCTATTCCATTTGCTGACTTTCAAATTTACATTTTATTGTAACAAAATATTTCTTAGTTACCCAGACAATTTTTCATTTAAAATGTATGCTGAGAACTTAACTATCATATTTTTCTAAATGCTTATGCAATAATACTGAAAGTGCTGTAGGAAGCATCTACCCTAGGTTTGAAGCGTTCATAGTAAAGCTGTATTCCATGACCATTCAAATCCATATTTTGGTTATTCTGTAATGTTGAATACAATATCAGATTTTGAGTCTAACATACTTGACTATTTTAACTTTCCTGAATGTCAAATTATATATGCTCTAGAAAAATAAATTTTAGCTGCTGTAGTTCTCAGGGTTTCTAGTTTTAGCCCTTCCTCCCCCCCTCCCCCCCACTTGAAGATGTTAATGTTAATTGGAATGTTTTTTCTTTACTGTCCTCCTTTTCAGAAGAAACTTCTTTACCACTAATTTTTACATCTTCTAAATGTAATCATCCAAATTCATCTCTGATATTGAAACTAGCAGAGTTACAGCAGGGATGAATTTAGCTCAATGTGTTTCATATTCAAGATAATACCAAGAATTAGTTGTAAATTGAATCAAATCCATGATTCAGGCAAATAACTTTGATTGTCCTGTTTTAGGAGTATAATGCCCTCTTTGCTGATTAAAAATTGTAAGGGTTATATTTCAGAACAATATGTGTTTATCTGGCAAACCAGAAAACTTTGGAATATTGATCGGTTACTTTAAAATGTATTTTTCTAGGAAGCGCAACAAAAAAGGAGAGAAGAATGGCAAGGGTTTGCGACACTTCTCTATGAAGGTTTGTGAGAAGGTACAGAGAAAAGGAACCACCTCATACAATGAGGTGGCGGATGAATTGGTTGCAGAGTTTAGTACCACGGATAATCATATTTCACCAAATGAATCAGTAAGTATGTTGCTGGGTTACATGCCACTTGAGTGGGGAAAAGATGTAACTTTTTGTTTTCCTAATGCTAAATGAAACAGTTGAGATACTAGCTGAGTTTACCCATCTACTGTAATACATTTTCAAACGTCTTTGTCACAGGTATGTTTTTGATTAATTCATTGTGTCTACAGCAGGCTTATGACCAGAAGAATATTAGACGACGTGTCTACGATGCCTTAAATGTCCTTATGGCTATGAACATTATCTCTAAGGAGAAGAAGGAAATCAAATGGATTGGTCTACCTACTAACTCGGCTCAGGAATGTCAGAATTTAGAGGTATATATGTGGGAAATACAGTAGTCGGTATCTTTGTTTGGATAAATCTAAAAGATTTTTAATGTTATCTAATCCTATCGGAATATGGTCTTTTGAGCTAGCAATACAGAATCATTGGGTGTCTGAGTCCCTTTGGACAAGTGTGGCTTGGAGATTGCAATATCAGGATGTTCAATCCACTTTACCTCCTTCCCTCTACCCCATCCCTGCTTCCCATCTCTCTTTGAGACTCTCCTCACAAGCACCTGCTAAGGTAGGATGGTGACTCTCTTCTGACCATAGGATCTGTAGAACCAGTTCCTGTTCAGCACAGAGGAAAGGGGTTCTATTAAGGTATAGTAACTCCTCACTTAATGTTGTCCCAGTTAACGTTGTTTCGTTGTCACGTTGCTGATCAGTTAGAGAACATGTTCATTCAAAGTTGCGCAGTTCTCCCTTATAACATTGTTTGGCAGCAGTCTGCTTTGTCCGCTGCTTGCAGAAAGAGCAGCCCATTGGAGCTAGCTGGTGGGGGCTTGGAACCAGGGTGGTCTGGCAGCCCTGCATCAGCTCACCATTCCGCTATATTCCCTTTGTGGCAACCGCCAAGCAGGCTATCAATCAGGGTGGATTTGATTTACATCACTAGTCAGGAAGACTCAATTCAATCCTGGATTTCTACATAAAAGTGCATTCTTGTTTGTTGTTATAACCTTAATACATATTCTTCACAACTCAGAGGTATATGAGATTTCATTTTTAGAAGGTACACACTATTCATTTTTAAAGAGATTTATTTTGAAAACTTTTCAGATTAGTTTTACAGCTATATCAGAAAATGAATGATTGTTGGGTTATTATCTTTACCAAAGGTAATTGAAGCAGATATTTATGAAGTCATTGGGAAGTGATCTCCAATTCAACAGAGGCTAATCATTAATATTGGGAGGATTTTTTTGTCATTCTGTATTAGGAGGAGAACATTACCAGACAGACATTTAAATTGTTTTATTTAATTAAAACAACAATGTTATGTATTCTGGATTTTTTTCTTTAACAACAACCACATAATATTTTAACAAAACACAAATATGAATTTTTGAATTTAGTTAAACATTCACATTTTTAAAATCAGGTTTGTTTTTGTTTAAATTGTTTAACTAAAATAGTTAAATGAAATATTAACAAAAAATTTAATAGACTCAGGCAGGTCAACATGAGAACCTGTATTTTTCTGCAACATGGGAATTCAAGAATAGTCCATATCTCAGCATGTACCTTCTGTGTATTCTGGCTGTTGTGTAATGTGGAAATGGGTAAAGACATTTTTTTAACTTCCAAACAAAACACAAAATCGCCTCTAGACTGAGCCTAACCATGGAAAAATTCAGCCCAGGAGAGTAGCTTTTTCCAGGAAGATTTGAATATTTGGAAATAGGGATTATCACGTGAATTCTGTTGTAATTTTAGTTATAACTGAACTTACCCAGGTACCTTTTATAATAAATGTGGGTTTTTTATAAACTTGTAAAATTGCACTGCCTAATGCACAAACAATACTGTCCTGTATCAATGGAAAATGTGTAGCTTCACCCTTGAAAAATAAATGTTTCCAAAACAGGCCAAGTATTGTATACATGGATATAGGTTTTTCTGAAAATTTTACCCTAAACCCCATTTTCTAAAGCATCTTACTCATTTAGGCCCTCATCCCCATCAATGGAATTGTGGCTTGTAAGTGCCTACATTCCTTTTGAAGATGAGATTTAGGCTTCTAAGTCAGTTAGGCATTGCAATGCTGAGTGCAGCAACTCCTGAATACCTTTAAAAATCTGGGCCTTAAGCTAAATCCTCTTGACTGCTAGGCACTATTGAAATTATCTATAGTGTATATACTCACTGGAGGTTCAGTTGTTTTGACACCTGTGATTTCATAACACACAATTTGCTGTAATAAGTAAGGTCTTTGGCTTGAAATAATCTTGCAAATAGTTTAACTGTGTTAGTATGGTAGGGTTACTATTCGTCCGGATTCTGCTGGACATGTCCAGCTTTTTTGAGTTAAAAATAGCGTCCGGGGGGAATTTGTAAATGTCCAGATTTCCCCCCCATGCAGAGCGCGCGCGGCTGACAGGGCAGCCGGCCGGATCGTGTCACTCGCACAGGGCTCTGATAGCCAGAGCCCCTCCTCCACTTCCCCCTCCTCTCTCCTGCAACTTGAGACCACTCCCCTCCTCTCTCTCTCTCTCCCTCCCTGCATTCTCAGATCGCCGGCTGGCCGTTTGCCTCGGGCCTCCGGCAGTCTGGAGCTCCTCCCCCTACTTCCCCCTCCCTTGCTGCCGAGCACGCTCCTCTGCAGCACTCTGTTCTGAGCAGCATGGTAAGGGGGCCAGGGGGTCGGAGAAGGGGCAGGATGGTTCTGGAGGGGGCAGTCAAGAGACAGGGAGCAGGGTTGGATGGGTCGGGAGTTCGGGGGGGGCTGTCAGGGGGTGGGAGTGGTTGGATGGGGCGTGGGAGTCCCTGGTGTCTGTCTGGGGGTGGGGGTCTCAGGAGGGGCAGTCAGGGGACAGGTAGGGGATAGGGTCCTAGGGGGCCAGTTAGGATGGGGGGAAGGTCTCAGGATGGGGCAGTCAGGGGACAAGGGGGGGGGAGGGTTGGAGATCCTGAGGGGGGCAGGAAGTGGAAGGGGCAGAGGCGGGGCTAGGGCAGGACGGGGGCAGGGCTAGGGCGGGGCTCCTCCCGTCCTCTTTTTTGATTGTTGAAATATGGTAACCCTATAGTATGGAAATATCTGAATTAAACTGTCAAATCACACCACATGAAATTTTACTTTCACTAGCTTAGTCTCAGGCTCAAAACTTAAATTTATGGAATTTACTATCTTTTTGTATGTGATTTAATATAATGCCAACTCCCTAGTTTTCCAGTTGATATAAAAACTTTTGTTTTTTGAGACCACGCACTAAAAAGCAGTATAAAAATTTATTAAAATTCAGTGGATGGCATTTTAATGCCAAATGTTTTCATCATAAAATATATTTGAATATGAAATACTGTTAAAATAAAACCCCTTTTCTTTCTGAAGGTGGAGAGACAGAGAAGACTTGAAAGAATAAAGCAAAAACAGTCTCAGCTACAAGAACTTATTCTACAGGTACAGTCAAGGTACTCTTGTCTGTAGGGCAAGGTAACTTGTATTTGTATACCAGTTTTCTTACACACATTAAAAACAAAAGATCTAGCAGGAGATTGAAGAATACACACGCAATGTGAATTTAGCACTGTAGCCAAGACTGTTGTGCTGTAGGAGAAGTTGACAAGAACCCAGTGTTCCGTGTTAAATTCCATGCCAGCTTCAAGTGCATTTAAACTAAGGTTTTGTTGACAATGACAATATAAGCTGTACTTTTATTCCTTGAATTTTGACATTCAATTCAGATCTCCAATTTGAAATGTTTTTTAATTTTACAGCTGTTCAGATTTGTATATTTTATTTTTAAGGAGTACTGGCATTTTGTTTTCTGTGATTCGTGACCTGAGAATACAGCCATGCCACCAAATTTGTCTGCCAAATATATTACACTAGAAAATTAAGTTTTGAGTCCTCATGTTTGGAAAAATAACTTTCGGTATGTGAACCAATTCCATGTTGAAACACTAGCTCTAAAAGATGTGAGATACATCCCTGTTCATCTCAGTGGAGTAACTCTGAAATGTAATTAGGTGAATTTAAAAGCCAAATTTAAACTTCATTGCTGATCACTTTAGCAGAAAAATCTAGCTAATGTTCTTCGAGTAGTGTTCCTATGGGTGCTCCACCGCATGTGCAGGCCTAATGGATGCTGCTACCAAAGTTTTCCAATCAGCAGCGCTGGGGCACAAGCACACCTACAGTGGAGCACCCATAGGGACATGCATCTCAAAGGGTACGTCTACACTTACCGGAGGGTCCGGCGGCAGGCAATCTATGTTCTGGGATCGATCCCGGAAGTGCTCGCCGTCGACGCCGGTACTCCAGCTCGGCGAGAGGAGTACGCAGCATCGACGGGGGAGCCTCCCTGCCGCGTCTGGACCCGCGGTAAGTTCGGACTAAGGTATTTCGAATTCAGCTACGTTATTAACGTAGCTGAATTTGCGTACCTTAGTCCGAAGTGGGGACCAGCCCAAAGAACCATCATTACCTCACAAGGTGTGTAACTACTACTTCTATTTACTATTGTAGGTGGCAGGAAGGAGGAGTTAGTATGGAGTCTGGTGTGTCAGGAATTGGGAGTTCAAATTTATTTTCTTTAAAGAAGTTTTACCACCACGCCTCCTACGTTGTCAGAAGCCACAACTGCCCCCAGTAGTGGTTAAAATCTCCAGTTTTCTCCAAACTTTTATGCATTTTTTCAGTGCATAATTCTGTGACACCTTTACAAATTAAAATCTGAGGGCATTCTGAACGTGGTTTGTCTTTGTGTGCACTTACAGTTGCAAATATTGTTAGTAGGCGTGATCAGGTTTGTAGTGTAGACATAACTTTAGGCTAAAGGTTCAGAAAGAAAACTGACTATTGCCACAAATGCTGGTGTGGGCTGGTTGGAAAATAGAAGCTTTCTGAGGAAAATTTAGTTTAGTCGAAAATCTAATTTTCTAATGGAAGATTTTCAGCCAGCCCTAGTGTTGGGTTATGGCAGAGTTTCTCAAATGAATTGCACCGTGACCCCCTTCTGACAACAAAAATGACTACATGACCCCAGGAGGGGAGAGAGAAGCCTGAGCCCACCAAAGCCCCACCACCCTGGGCAGGGGACCAAAGCCAAAACCTGAGCCCCGTCACCCAGGGCTGAAGCCCTTTGGCTTTGGCCCCAGGCATTGGGGCTCAAGCTTTGGCCCTGGGCCCTAACAAGTCTAATGCCAGCCCCTGGCGACCCCATTACAATGGGGCTGCAACCCACTTTGGGGTCCTGATCCACAGTTTGAGATCTGCTGGGTTATGGTATCCTTGACTTGTGTTCAATGTTTAGTAACATTAAAGAAGTGGAGGAACATTTACATGATAAATGTCTGCTTCTTAAGTTTCAAAATATTTTCATTAAAGTAAACTGGTTAATTCCAAATGTATTTTTGTATTTTGTATATTTCAGTAATTTACAAGTTTGGAAAAAGTTGACAGTGTCAAGTTGATAGGACTTAAGTATTTCTTTTAAATACTGAGATTCCTAGTTCTGCTTCAGTTTCTTCAGAGACACCACAAATATACATTTTAATAAGAGAATAACAAAGAAGGAATAATTGTTGAATATGTGTAGTTTTGTAAGCCACTATTACTTTTTGCAGCAAATTGCCTTCAAGAACCTAGTTCAACGAAATCGTCAAACAGAACAACAGGCAAACCGACCACCGCCTTCCAATTCTGTCATACATCTGCCATTTATCATTGTGAACACCAGCAAGAAGACCGTGATCGATTGTAGTATTTCAAATGACAAGTAGGTTGTTCATGAATTTTTTCATCAGAAGCAGGAAGCCTGCTAAACAGTCAGTGGGGCCACTGGACTATCAAGGTGCTAAAGGAACATTCACGGAAGATAAGGTCGTTGCGGAGACGCTAAATGAATTCTTTGCATCAGTCTTCACTGCAGAGGATGTGAGGGAGATTCCTATACCTGAGCCATTCTTTTTAGGTGACAAATCTGAGGAACTGTCCCAGATTGAGGTGTCAGTAGAGGAGGTTTTGGAACAAATTGATACATTAAAGAGTAATAAGTCACAAGGATCAGATGGTATTCACCCAAGAGTTCTGAAGGAACTCAAATATGAAATTGCAGAACTACTACCTGTGGTATGTAACTTATCATTAAAATCAGCTTCTGTACCAGATAACTGGAGGATAGCTAATGTGATACCAATTTTTAAAAAAAGCTCCGGAGGTGAACCTGGCATTTGCAGGACGGTAAGCCTAACTTCAGTACCAGGCAAATTGGTTGAAACTATGGTAAAGAACATAATTATCAGATACACAGATGAACACAGTTTGCTGGGGAAGAACGAACACAGCTTTTATAAAAGGAAATCATGCCTCACCAATATGTTAGAATTCTTTGAGGGGGTTAACAAACATGTGGACAATGGTGATCCAGAGGGAATAGTGTACTTAGGCTTTCAGAAAGCCTGTGACAAGGTCCCTCATCAAAGGCTCTTAAGGAAACTTAGCAGTCATAGGATATGGTCATGTTGTGGATCAGTAACTGGTTAAAAGACAGGAGACAAAGGGTAGGAATAAATGGTCAGTTTTCACAGTGCAGAGAGGTAAATAGTAGAGTCCTCCAAGGAGCTGTACTGGGACTAGTGCTGTTCAACATACTCATAAATGACCTGGAAAAAAAGGTAAATATTGCGGTGGCAGAGTTTGCAGATGATAAAAAATTACTCAAGATAGCTAAGTCCAAACCAGACTACAAGGAGTTACAAAGGGATCTCACAAAATAGTGACTGGACAACAAAGTGTCAGATGAAATTCAGTGTTGATAAATACAAAGTAATGCATAGTGAAAAACACAATCCCAACTGTACATTCAAAATGATGGGGTCGAGATTAGTTGTTACCATACAAGAAAGAGATCTTGGAGTCATTATGGAGTCTCTGAAAACATCAGCTCAGTCTGCAGTAGCAGTCAAAAAAGCGAACAGTGTTAGGAACCATTAGGAAAGAGAGAGAGAAAACAAGACAATAAAGATTATAACACCTCTATAAAAATCTGTGCTATGCCAACATCTAGAATATTGTGTGCAGATCTGGTTCCCCCCATCTCAAATAAGATATATTAGAAACTGAAAATGTACAGAGAAGTGCAACAAAAATGATTAGGGTATGGAACAGCTTCCATATGAAAAGAGATTAAAAAGACTGGGACTGTTCAGCTTGGGAAAGAAACTAATGAGGGGAGATGATGGAGGTCCATAAAATCATAAATGGTGTGGAGAAAGTGAATAAGGAAGTGTTATTTGCCCCTTCACAAAATCAAGTCCCCGATGAAATTAATAGGAGGTATAAAACAAACAAATGGAAGTACTTCTTCATATAACACAGTAAACCTGTGGAACTTGTTGCCAGGGGATGTTTTAAAGGCCAAAACTATAACTGGATTAAAAAAAGAATTAGATAAGTTCATGGATGATAGGTAAAGCTATGTTTTAGTCATGGGTATTTTTAATAAAAGTCATGGACAGGTCATGGGCAATAAACATGGGCGACATCCCTCAGCTCCTAGGCGGAGGCGCAGCCACACAGCTCTGTGCGCTGCCTCCCCCCAAGCACCAGCTTCTATTGGTCAGGAACCACGGCCAATGGGAGCTGCGGGGGTGGTGCTTGCAGGCAGAGGCAGCACACAAAGCCCCCCTGGCTACACCTCCACCTAGGAGCTGAAGGATGTCGTCGCTTCCGGGGAGCACCCCCAAGGTAAGTGCCGTCCAGAGCCCTCTCCTACGCCCCAGCTATGAGTCCCCTCCCACACCCAAACTCCTGCTGCTGCTGTGGGAGGGGGGTGCAGTGGCCCGAGACCGTCCAGTCAGTGGCCAGTGCAAAAGTCCCAGAAAGTAATCTCCATGACAAACTCGCAGCTTTAATCATAGGTTCATCAATGGCTATTAGCCAAGATGATCAGGGGTGCAACCCCATGCTCTGGGTGTCCATAAACCTCTCATATTCAGAAGCTGGGAGTGGATGACAGGGATCACTTGATGATTGCCCTGTTCTTATTCCCTTTGAAGCATCTGGCATTGGCCACTGTTGAAAGATGGGCTACTGAGCTAGGTGGACCATTGGTCTGATCTAGTATGGTCATTCTTGTGTTCTTATGGGTTTGCAGCTAAATCTCCTGTTAATGGTTTGGGCAACATGCAACATTTTCATTATTTGTTTCTTATATAGTTAACAAAGGTATGAATTTTGAGACATTGGAATTGCTCACTAGAACAAAATATGAAGGCTACATATGTTGTAATGGCCATGTTTTCATTTTCTTGAAGTACCACACTCTCTGTTGGAAATGTTTTGGAAAAATTAGTGCAAGTAATTCAAGCTGATTGAATTTCTCGCCTCCAGGTTTGAATATCTATTTAATTTTGACAATACTTTTGAAATTCATGATGATATAGAAGTACTAAAGCGAATGGGAATGGCTTGTGGGCTAGAATCTGGAAGCTGTTCAGCAGAGGACCTAAAAATTGCAAGGAGTTTGGTTCCTAAAGCTCTGGAACCATATGTGACAGGTTAGTTACTCAAAGTAAGATACTTCTGCTGTTTTTCTCTTTGAAATAGGACTTGAGGAAAAACTGGTTGAACTAGAATTCTGACTTGACCCATCTATAAAATGTTCAGTTGGCTAACTTTTCATTAGCCAACAGTGTAGATATTTAACTTATTCTTAAATGTGTATGTTTGTTATAGTAGGATGTAAGTGGTAAGAACAAGACTGATATTTTTTCCTTTTTCAAGTGGTTTTCCTTATGCGTACTACACTTCAGGATGCACATGCGCCCAGGTCTGAAGATTTTTCTCTAGCAGGGTCTGTCTGGTCATCGTGTGTGCCCTCACTCTCCTGCTCCTCACTCGAGAAGATAAAGGGAGCTGCCGGACTACTGCTGTCTTAATTCTTTCTTCCATTGATGGTTGTGGATGGAGCTTCACAGTTTGTGCCGACTTCTTCAGCTTCTCTTCGTAAATAGTTAAAAAAAAATTCTATAGTGTTACAGCAGAGTGACAGCTGTGCTATATAGTTTAAAGTCTATTTATTCTAGGGGTTCTAAAAGCCCTAGTTAATGAGATTGCCTTGAAATTTGTTATGCTTCGTAGAGGTAGGGGTACAGTCAGTGACTGAAATTTGGGGTCACCTGACCAATGGGTTCCAGAGATACAGCACTAAGGGGGGGAAAACAGCTTGTTAAAAATTGACATATTCTAAAAATAGACAGTGTTTTTTGCTCACAAATAGAGATCGAACTAGGGCTCAGATCATTGCACCAGGTACTCAGATGCTCAAAGGTTACCCCAACAGAATGCATGGCACCCACCACCCTTTTGGGGGAAATCAAATTAAAATGTTACTTGAAAAAGTTTGCTTCTCCAGTTAGGCATGCTAAGGTTCTCATACCTAATGGTTTATGCTAAACAAGTACACAGAGAGAGGCTATCTGGAAAACTACCTCTACATAGAATCACAGAAATGTATGAGTGGAAGGGATCTCAATAGGTCATCCAGTCCAGTCCCCTGCACTGAGGCAAGACTAAGAATTATCTAGACCAGTGATGGGCAACCTGCGGCCCATCAGGGTAATCCGCTGGCAGGCCGCCAGACTGTTTACATTTGCACGGCGCCTGCAGCTCCCAGTGGCTGCAATTCGCTGTTCCTGATGAATGAGAGCTGCGGGAAGCGGTGTGGGCCGCAGGTTGCCCATCACTGATCTAGACCATCCCTGACAAGTGTTTGTCTAACCTGTTCTTAAAAACCTCCAATTAGGGAGATTGTGGAATCTCCGTAAATAATTTGTTCCAATGTTTAACTACCCTTACCGTTAAGAAGTTTTTTGTAATGTCTAACCTAAATCTACCTTGCTGCAATTTGAGCCCGTTACCTCTCGTCCTGTGCTCAGTGTATAAGGAGAACAATTTATTACCCTCATCTTCATAACAACCTATTACCTACTTGAAGACTGTTATGTCACCACTCAGTCTTCTCTTCTCCAGGCTAAACAAACCTTTTTTTTCTTCCCCTCAATCTTTCCTCATAGGTCTCATTTTCTAAACCTTTAATCATTTTTTTTTCCTCTACTCTCAGCTTCCTCCAATTTGTCTACATCTTTCCCGAAGTGTGGTGCCCAGAACTGGACGCAATACTCCAGTTGAGGCCTTATCAGTGCTGAGTAGAGTAAAATAATTACTTCTTTTATCTTGCTTCCAAGACTCCTGCTAATACAGCCCAGAATGTTTACTTTTTGGAAGCAGTATTATATTGCCGACTCCTTTAGTTTGTGATCCACAATAAACCCCAGATCCTTTTCTGCAGTACTCCTTCACAGGCAGTCATTTCCCATTTTCTATTTGTGCAGTTAATTATTCCTTCATAAGTGTAGTACCTTGCATTTGTCCTTACTGAATTTCATCCTATTTATTTCATACCATTTCTCCAGTTTGTTGAGATAATTTTGAATTTTAATCCTGTCCTCCAACCCCTCCCAGCTTGGTATCATCGCCAAACTTATAAGTGTACTCTCTATGGTGGTATTCAAATCATTTATAAAGATCTTGAATTGAACAGACCCAGGACAGATCCCTGTGGGACAACATTCAATATGCCTTCCAGCTTGATTGAGAACTATGGATAACTACTCTGAGTACACTTTTCCATCCAGCTGTGCACCCATCTTATGGTAGGTTTGTCTAGGCTGTATTTTCCTAGTTTGCTTATGAGAAGGTCATGTGAGACTGTATCAGAAGCCTTACTAAAGTAGAGAGATGGCCCATCTACTGCTTCCCCCCCATCCACAAGGTTTGTTACCCTGTCAAAGAAGGATGTTAGATTGGTTTGACATTTGTTCTGGACAAATCCATATTTACTATTTCTTCTCATCTTATTATCTTGTAGGTGCTTACAAATTGATTGTTTTGTTTTCTTCATTATCTTTCTGGGTACCAAAGTTAAGCTGATTAGGTCTGTGGTTCTATGGGTTATCCTTATTTACCTTTTATAGATAGGTATTATATTTGCCCCTTTTCAGTCCTCTGGAATCTCTTTTGTCCATCACCAGTTCTCAAAAATAATCACTAGCAGCTTAGAGATCTTTCTCCAGCCAGTTCCTTAAGTATTCTAGGATGTATTTCATCAGGCCCTGCTGACTTGAAGACCTCTTACTTGTTCTTTCTCTGTTTTAACCTCAGATCCTACCCGATTTACATTAATGTTCATTATGGTAGTCGTCCAATCACTGCTAACCTTTTTGTTGAAAACTGAAACAAAAAAGGCATTATTTTTTTTTTCCAGCCATTGCTGTGTTTTTCTGTGACTGTCTTTCCCTCCTCATAGAGTAATGGGCCTACCGTGTCCTTGGTATTCCTCTTGCTTCTAATGTATTTGTAAAATGTTTTCTTGGTACCCTTTGTCCCTAGCTAATTTAATCTCATTCTGTGCCTTGGCCTTTCTAATTTTGTGCCTACGTGCTTAGTTGTTGTTTTTTTATATTCGTCCTTAATAATTTGACCTAATTTCCAGTTTTTGTACGACTCTCTTGAGTTTCAGGTCATTGAAGATCTCCTGGTTTAAGCCAAAGTTGTCTCTCACTATACTTTATCTTTCCTACATGCTGGAATAGTTTGCTCTTGTTCCCTTAATAATGTCTCTGTAAAAAAAAAAAAAACCTAAATTCTCCTGAACTGTGTTTTTCCCATTAGACTTGCTTCCAACAGGATCTTACCTACCAATTCTGAGTTTGCTAAAATCTGCTGTCTTTATTCTGCTGTTTTCCCTCGTACCATTTCTTAGAATCATGAACTCATCATTTCTTGGTCACTTTCACCGAAGCTGCCTTCCACCTTCAAATCTGCAATCAGTTACTCCCTGTTTGTCAGGATCAGATCTATGACAGCCTCTCCCTTGGTCGCTTTCCCCACCTTCTGTAATAAAAAGTTGTCTCCAGTGCATTCCAAGAACATGTTGGATAATCTGTGTCCTGTTGTGTTGTTTTCCCAACAGATGTCTGGGTAGTTGAAGTCCCCCATCATCATCAAGTCCTGTGCTTTGGATGATTTTGTTAGTTGTTTAAAAAAGGGCTTATCCATCTCATTTTTTTTCTTTCTGGTTAGGTGGTCTACAGTGGACTCCTACCAGGACATCACTCTTGTTTTTTACCCCTTTTATCCTTACTCAGAGACTTTCAACAGGTTTGCCTCCCACTTCTATCTTGACCTCAGTGCAAGTGTATACATTTTTGATATACAAAGCAACACCAACTCCTCTTTTTTCCCATGCTTGTCTTTACTGAACAAGCTGTACCCTTCTGTACCAATGTTCCAGTTATGTGAATTATTCCACCAAATCTCTGATGCTAATTATGCTGTAAGTGATTATTCACTTAATATTTCTAGTTCTTCCTGTTTATTTCCCCTCACATCATAGGATTTAGGTGGCTCCAAGGGTATGATGATGATATTGAATCTGAGCATCGTGTCAGGCACTGAGAGTTCAAATCCAACTCAGGGCAGACATTTGAAATTTAAAAAGCCCCAGACATACTGCTCCAATCTTTCTTTGTCAAGGGGGGAATTTTGTTTTGGGGAAATGAAATCTGAGTACAGCAGAATATTTGAAGGCACTGAAGCTATTTTTTAAAAAGAAAATAAACTACAAATGCTTGCTGGGGGAGGGTGACTAACAGTGGAAAAGTATGTGGGAATAGGAGGAGAAGAGGGATTGGGGGATCAGGTGATGGGGGAGGGAAGTGGTAGGACATTGATATGGCGGGGTGAGTGAGGTGCCTGTTAGCCCCACAGTCCCCTTCCAGGTGTGTACCACAATCTGGGAGCCCCCAGGCCATCTACAGATGTGTTATGACTCCCCCTCCCCCTTTCCTGCCCCTTTAAGTGAGCCAGGTTTTAGAAGGGGCTCACCTATCGGGCCGTGGATCTGAGCCCTTCTTCCTCCCGCTATCTGAGCTGAAATCTGAGGTTCCTGGTCCGTGGGAATGTCTCAGTCCTGTTCTCTGCCCCACTGTGTGCGCCAGGCTCTGGGTGGGCCCTGCCATGTATTGTGACCTTCTCCCTCCCCCCCCTTGCACCCCAATGTGAGCCAGGTTCCAAGGAGGCATGCCTTTCTGTTAGCTTCCAAGCCCCTCCCCCACATATGAGCCAGAATCTGGGGAAGCCCTTCCCCTCTGGGTGGTGAGCTTACAATAGGCATGTTTGGAGCAGGCACCAAAAACGCACTGTTGAGATTGGTGTGAAGTGCTGAGAACAGGTATGCCTGACACATCAGAAACTCTCCAGCTCTGGGGAGCAGGGAAACACAACTCCCATGCCACATGAATGTGCCAGTTCACAGGTGTCAGGGTTGTGTCAGGTTGTGTTCTTTCATCTGAGAACATCTCATTAAGCTGAATAGGCTACTTAACATCTCTTTGAGCCCTTTAAGCTGATGATGAAGGTGTAGAGCTCCTCCCTTCCATTCTCCCTCTAATTTTATAATGGAGGGCAGCTCTGCTCTACCTAAGGCTTTGTCTAC